AACATTGCCCATTGTCGAGGAAGGCGACGACTAGGCATACGTAACACATGTCCTAACCACCTTAGTCGATGTAACTTCACAGCCTCGTCGATTGATTTCCCCTCCTTACCTAGCACTAGACGCCTAACCTCAATATTGCTCACCCTATTGTACCACGTAGCACAGGAGATAGAATGGAAGCACCTATGATCAAACACAGCTAGCCAGTCTTTTCATGTCCTCCACTCTTAATAGCCATGTCTCACTGACAGCCATAAAAGACTGAGCAGTACACACGCCCTTTAGTCTACGCCAGAGGCGGCGTAAACTGGCATATGCAGAACTAGCCTTATGTATCCGTGCTGAGATTTCATCAGTGATCAACCCGTTTGGGGCTGATGCAACTTCCCAAATAAGTGAAGTGGTCAACGTGCTCTACCACTTCACTTCCTATTTCTAATCTAGGGGTCGTTGTGGTCCAGTCCTGCAACATCATCTTACATTTTACAGGGACGAATCGCATGCCAAACATACGAAGGTTGCTGCTCAAGGTGTTCGGAAGACTCTGCATTTTTTCAGCGTCCACGTCTAGAAGGACTATATCGTCTGCATATTCTAAGTCAACGAGATTATTCTCTGGTAGCAAGTCAATCCCTGAGTCTCTGAAGTGGGTTAGGGTTAATTCCATTAGTACATCTATGATGAAATTGAATAGAAATGGGGACAGTGGGCATCCCTCTCGGATACCACTAGTTGTCACTACTTCAGATGACAACTCACCTGACTGCATCAGTTCGAGTAGTGTCATGATCGATGCAATGTATTTCCTTGGCACTCCCTGCACAGACAAACATCGCCATAGTACCTCTCGGTCAACAGAATCGAATGCCGCCTTTAGGTGAAGAAATATGACTACTGTTGGACTCTGGTAAGTATGTCTGTGTTCCAGAATCTGTCGAAGGGTGGCGATATGACCCCCTTCCTTGTCTAAAGCTTGCCTAGTTCTCTCGTGTTTGTGCCTCCAGAGCACGCATTATTATTGAGCCTAGAACTTTAGATAACATATTAGTCAAGCCAATCCCCCTGAGATTAGCACAGGAAGACTTGTCTCCCTTCTTGTATATCGAGATAATCAATGACTTACACCAACCCAACGGGACTTTCTCTGGTTCCCAGACGCTGCCTAGTACCTCAGGTAACGCAGACAATAAACTGTTTTCACCGTACATAAATACCTCTAGTCATTCCATCAGGTCCTGCTACTTTGCCTCGTTTCAGACTAGTGACAGCCTTAGTAACTTCAGTTAGGGAGGGAGGACCTGTGTCTTTATTCTCATTCAGGGAGGTGTTAGATGTTCGGTAAGTTGAGCGTGGCTGTAGACCAATTAAACTGCTCCTCAAAGTACTCTTTCCAGCGTTCCAGTCATCTATCCTGGGAGCTAATTATGGTGCCATTTCCCTCAGAGTTTGTTTCACTTACCGTTGGCCTTTTACCACCTGTTTCTCTGTTAAGTCTGTTGTTAACAACCGCCAATGTCTTCTCCATCTCTCTCGCCCACTAAAATACAATTCAGTTTATCTAGTGCCATACAAAGATAGTAAGGTCAAATACACAAGCCAAAGTAAGCCACGGTCATTCAGACTAGAGCACAAAATCTTAATGTAATCTAGATTACTTGACCTTAATAAAATAAGGAATTTGAAAAAAAGCCCAGCTCTAGCATTACATGTAGTCACATAGAATATTACAGTAGTATGGGACAAAGTGATAGTATTACAATCTAATGCAACAGAATGGATGAGGAGGTTGGTAACTAAAGCTTTATTTACCGAATCAACTGAGAGTACGAAAAACAGGAAAGATTCCATACCTGGAGAATACTACCCTTACAACAATTAAGGGCGAAAACTATAAAAATCATGTTTTGAAGTTGTGTAGTTGCAGCTGATATCAATACAAACGGCAAAATGTGCTCGACATTTTAGCCAGCATATAATGCTGGTTAACCAGTCACAACATCAGTTTCTCAAAACCAGTTCATATACTAAATGCTTTTTGCACTACTTCATCGTAGTCATTTACAGAAGAGATGAAAAAGAACTTTTGTATCCTGACATTTCAGAAACATTCGACAGAGTCCCACATGACTGGCTTGTTAGTAGGTCACATTCCTTTAGGATTTATTTCTTTAGCGGTGACTTTACAGAAAGCACTTCAGGTTTTAGAATTCCTTTATACGTAACGGAGTCTATAACCAGTGCGGCTAGAACAAATCTAGAAAGCAGAAAAGTGATTTTGTCCAGTTTTTATTATAGTCAGAAAATGACAATTTCCTTTGTCTGTAAAGTCGTTGTTTAGCTTATCTGTACAAAGTTTCGTAGACAGTGCAAAGTAAAATGTCAAAACAAAAAAAAACACAATAAATACAGCTCTTTTTCTTAAGCAGAATAAACAGAAGTGCACATTAATTACAAATCTTAATCACATTAATTTCTCTGATTTGTAACTGAATTACTCCAACATGACGGGAAGAGATTACTTCCACACGAGCTCATAGAAGCATTCGCATTGGATATAGTATAAAAACGGCAGAGATAGTTTAGATCGATTATTCCACGTACACCGGACGTTCCTTTTTCGAGTTCAGTCAATTTGTGTCATCTTCAGACGGAAAGGGCGAGGTGGAATGAGCTGAATTAAAACCTGAAGCGGTCTGTATGCAACTACGACCAAAAGTGACATCATTATTTACAGAAACCATCAAGTTTGATAAAGAAATATGATTAGAAGACTGATGAGAATGTGAATGCATGTAAACATTTGTCACAGGGAGTAAAACAATTGCATTAACTGGTGTCACGACAGAGACTTAGAATCCATGACGAGCTACTACAAGCTATAGACGTAGGCGGATGGAAACAGTGCGTACGCCTCCCTACAAGAAATGAAAACACTCTTGACTTAATCCTTTGTCATGAAATAGAGCCCATCTCGATAGAGGTAGGAAATAAACTTGATAACAGTGATCACAACATATTGTACTGCACACTACCCCTCCGACTAACAACTAAACACACACCTAAAAATTCCACGGTGCACTATCATTATAGGGACTATAAGAATGCCGATTGGGAATTCCTATCAGATCTGTTGAGAAGTTCTGACTGGGAAGAATACTTCATCAACAATAACTTAGAAGTATCACTTGATATTTTCTACAAAACAATTGGCTCAGCAAGAGACACAATCGCGCCCCTAAAATCTGCTCTAAAGACACTAACTCTATTTATAGACCGCAAAACGCGAAATTGAAAAGGAAATACCATGTATTTAAGGAATTTAATGCGTTAAACCAAATACTTGAAACTCTTAAATGGCTTGAAGGTAAACACAAAATGATGTCACAACTTGAAGAAAATAAAGCGCTTGTGGGTAACTCCAAAACTCAGGAACTTTGTAGGATATTGCAGAAACGCCTAAAAAGCAGTAAAGACAATACTGTAAGCAGCTTGGAACAATGATCCCCAGGTTATAAGTGAACTCCTCAATGAGTGGTTTTGCAATGACGCCAGAGTGCACCCGACCCAAAATTTCCAAATGACCTGCAAAAGTAACCACAAATTAGGCGAAATAGACTTTAATATACAAAATATAGACTCAGCGATTAAGACTTTGAAGTCTAATGGTAATACTAGAACAGATGACATACCATCTGTCATGTACAAAAATGGTAGCTAGGACTACAAACACTATGGCTAAGACGCCTGAGACTAAACTTAACACTTTACTATAAGCTTCTAAACCACTTACTTTTTACCTCTACTAATGGCACTCGACTTTCAGATGACAATGGCTACAAACTAAGACACACTAAGGGTACAGTAGCTATCGAACAATGTAAAACAGCCACCAGGCAAAAGTTTTACTTGATTAGGTATGCACAGATATGGAATAAACTGCCAATGGAAATGCGTCAAGCAAGTACATTGGCCTCCTTCAAAAAGGTGCTTAATGACAAACTACAAGAGTTTGCAAACGATAGTAGTTCTAGTTCCTATCTGAGAGCCTCCGAAATTATAGGTCCATTTAATGTATAAGCTTAAATACTACACCTGTTGTTTTTTGCCTATATTTATAATTCTAGATGAAACATTAACGGTTAAAATACGTATCCTCAAACAGACAAGAAATCTCGTTTGTAAAACTACTACCCAACACAATAAGTGGAATAAAATGGACATAAACCAAAAAGGTATAACTCACCACAACATCACATGGACAGATGTACGCTCGTTGGGCACCATATATCCCTCACCAACTGCAACCCACCTTTCCTTAGATAATGTGATGAACTTATATCCATAATGTTGCTGAGCAGTTAATATTCTCAACTCCTGTCGGAACATCTGAAACTCATAAACCTTCCTCACGCTGAGAAAATACCCACAAGCAGTAGGAATCCATTAATTAATGCGTCGGAAGCTTATATATTTACTCACAACAATGACATTGCAGATCAAATGAGATAAACACATCACTGATTTCAAAATAACACATCAATGAACTATAATTCGAGGACTCTGCACACAACAAAGTTATGTATGAATATTGACTTCAGGCTTTATTTTTTTTCCCAGGCACTTATAATCCATCCACCAAAGACCTGGTTTTTTTGTTAATGCGAAGACAACACTTCTGTATTTCCTGTTGTGTTGCACTCACTGACAATCTAGCAGATTTTTCCAACTGTGCACAGAAATGATTGTAAATAAGTGAAAAGGCTGTTTTATACTACTGGGATTAACATTTATCAAGTGTATGTATAATCTCCAGCGAACATGTAAAGCATATCTTGCTACTGCCTGTAAATTGTGATTGAATTATATGGTTCTATTTCTGTAACAATTTGATGATGCCTGTAAACTGGCGTCCCTCATGTACTGTACTATGAGAATAAATTTATTTATTTATTTAAGGAAGCAGTTGATGATTTAAGTGAACTTGGATACCTCGAGCAGGGCTATTGAGGTTCTAGATCACCCTCTAATACAGATCTAGAAGGCTGCACTGTTCCTGGCTCAAAACAAGCCTGAAGGACTTGACATGCCTCAGCTATTTTACCATCTTCTAGTCTCAACACTTGTCGAATACGAGTGACTGAACAGACAGTAACACCCGGCATGTCACGACGTAAGGTCAGATCAAGTGCATGAAGAATACACGCAGCTGCCATGTAGCTGGGCATATAGTAGCCAAACTCTTCAACATGGAAAACTTTAAAGAAGATACAAAGTGCAACTTCACGAATTGTCTGACACAAATTCGGATCAAACTCGAGGTATTCGACCACAGGGGCGATGAAGTCTAATGGAGTAATACAAGTTAAGTCCCACATGAGCAATTTACATATATCCCATTCTTTATCTAAGATTTGTTCTTTCGAAACTGAGTTAGCTGTATATTCTGACACTTCCCTCACACTAATGGGTATGCTCTCCTTCAGCTTACTGGCAATAAAAAAACAGGTAGCACCCACCAGCTGATATTCACTTCGACCAGTAGGAAAAATGTGCATATAACGGTCAATTAGTTGCGTAGCATGCGCCAGAACCTCGCCACCTGCTGCACGATGCACACAGATATCTCTGAGCCAGTTTAGAAGACAGCGTCGCATCCATATTTTCCTTTCACGAGGTTGAGCACTACAATACCCTGGAGTTGTGTGATAACGTCCTTCATCAACTAGTAGGTTCTCAATGACTCTTGGATTCCGCCTGAAGAAAGGGTCATATTTTGCCTGGGGAACTGTTTCGGGTACACCACAAAGTGCATCTAGACTGGATACTTCCATAGGTACAACTACAATTCCCAATTTGTTTGTTGCAATCTAATAAAAGACCCAGGGATTAGGCGAAATATCAAAATAAAAACCGGAGCAATGGAAAACACTCAGAGTATATGTTATTATTGTAAACAGTTACTTATGAATTTTTACGTTCAATATCCGGAAATCAATATATTCCAAGTATTCACAAGTAGTATCTTTCAGTGATAGTCCTTCACCGTAGAATGAACTTAAAAATCTATGGTGACCCGAGGGAGCTGCTGAGACGCAGGTCAACGTGGGTATTGACACGTGAGTATTTCAGTTCCCGCGCGATACTCTTTTACTCAAAAACTTGTATCTCATATCCAATACCCTTTTCTTGATCCAGTGCAAGCCAAATTGACTTCTTGAAGTTCTCTTCTTGTTTATACAGTAGGTTGCTTTTTAATTTATGTGTTTGATCATGGGCGAAAACGGAACACCAGAACGTCGACTTGCACAACATTATACCGATGTAATAAAAGTGCATTTTAAATAGAACAAAAGTAATGGAAGTCTAAATATCATTTTCATATCCGCTAGTAAAAATAAATTTATTAAACCTCTTATCAGTGTAGCTCGCTGATCTTTGGTAAACCCTGCAGTGCATACTTTGCTCCAGTCTACTTTTCTCCCTTTGGCAGTTGGCATCTCTTGAGTGTAGTTATGGTTCTGTATACCCAAGAAAAGAGCAATTTCATCTACAGCACTTTGTACGTCTATATTTGAGCATTTTGGAACCATTATAACTTTTCAAATAACTGCATTTTATGTGTATATTAACTTATGTGGACTGGGTACCCTTCCATATACACACTTGTTCGTATTTGTTCTGTCCTTTTTATTCCGCGTATAAACTAACCTAGGCATCTGTTCCACTACAACCCCAGCGTATTTTGTCCTGCTACTTGACAGCCGCAACTTTGGTTGACATCCATGAGGAATAGTGAGGAGATTGGTAGTTTAGGTGGTTGCCTGTAGGTATCGACGTTCGCGAGTTGTACGGATTATACTAACGCAAGATCTTATACCAACAACCACTATAGTGTTCGTTCTTCGAGTACCAAATGGTAAAGCAAAAGACCAGATTTTGTCGTCCAAATACGATATATATTTTGGGACCAAATCGCGGGTAGGAATGAATGCTTAGCTAGCTAGTAATCGTGCACGCACGTGACACGACGTAGCACCAAATGGCGGGGATGCTTGACCGTAAGCCTTCAGCTAAACAAGTCGACTTAAACAGTGATGGTCAGCATCCAATGTTGAGTGATGATTGCTGTGGTTAATAATTTTGGGGAATTATTTACCGCTACAGCTCACTCCCCCCCTTGTGGGTTTGTGAGGACCCTAAGACATGACCAACCGGAAGTAAAAGAATCTCGATGGTTCCCTGATGGGTGAAAAAAATCTTCCGAGCGGCTTGATGGAGAGCCTGCTGGTCTGTCTGCCTATGCTAATAGGGTGTCTGTACATAGCTTCCTCGATGTTGTTCGCTGGATCCCGTGCTTCGTTTGTTTCCTGTCCAGTGCCCGTTGCACCTGGAAAAGAAAACAAGAATGCTGAGAACCTTGTCATGGAAAATGTACCAAATAAGCGTTTTTTACAAAAAAAATGACGTGCAGTAAACTAATGTAAAGTTCAAAATATCGGAAAAAAAATATACATCTAATTTAATTTTTTTATAAGTGCATGTATAATGTACGGTTATAGGAAAAAATATCGTTTTCTCGTGTTAAATGATGCAACATAAAAAAATTGGTGTGTCACTCAGTTATGTGAAATAGGTGTGAAGGTATTCTGGGAATCTAACGTGACGTCCAGAACGCGTTTTTTTAGAGTGATCGACCGAAGGTTCAGTGGCTTTCGCCGTGCTAGGGAGTTCTTCGAAGACTGAAGTAGATTCAATTACTTGTGAATTATCGGGTACGTTTAGCTCCAGGCTAATGGGATTACCTTCCAAGTAAGCCGGCTTCAAACGGTCGATACTGACGGTGTCTTCGCGGCCTTTTTTGTCTAAAACGAAGAATTTATCAGTACGTTTAATCACTTTATATGGTCCGTCATATGGGGGTTCTAGAGGAAGACGTACCGAGTCGCGACGAACAAATACATGTGAAGAAGTTTTTAAACAAGGGTGAACGAAAACATCAATGGACTGTGGTCGGAGGGGAGCAGGTTTAACTGAACGCATAGCGTTTGTAAGCCTGCTGACATATGAGGAGTGATCTACCACTGGTGGGAAGCTCGAGGGAGAAACAAACTCACCTGGCAGTCGTAGTGTTGTGCCATATACTAGCTCAGAGGTAGTACAACCAGCATCGGTTTTTAAGGCGTTTCGTATCCCTAGGAGAACTAACGGAAGGGATTCAGTCCAGTGGGTGTTATTTGAAGCTGATAAACCAGCTTTCAACTGTCTGTGTAGACGTTCTACCATACCATTCGCTTGAGGATGGTAGGCTGTCGTTCGAAAACGCATGCAACCAAGGATTTTAGTCAAAGCGAAGAATAAACCGCTTTCGAATTGCCGCCCACGATCAGTTGTTATGGAAGATGGGCATCCAAAGTTTGCGATCCATCTCTCTACAAAGACGCGTGCGACAGTTTCAGCAGATATATCCTTGATGGGTACTGCTTCAGGCCATCGTGTGAAGCGATCGATGCAGGTTAACATATAGGTGTATCTGTAGTGGACCTAGTAGCTAGGTAAGTATATAAACGCAATTAAAAGGAGAGAACAAGTACTAACAAATACGTATATATAAAATATTCGGTTCACTTAAGTTAATATACACAAAAAAGGGACTGAGGTTATTTGAAGAAAACTATAACAGTCACAAAATACACAAATTATAGACGTACGAAATTATAGGAATGTAATTGTCCTTCTCTTGATTATACAAATTCTCCACTACAACTTAGCGCTGTCAACCGTCGGAAGTCTCCACGTAGAGTAAGGCAGATAGGAGCGAAGTTCTCGAAGGGGATGTGTCAACCAGTGCGAGACAGCGTTGGTCAGCAGATGTGCTGGGCGAGCAGCCGGAGAGAGGGCGAACGATTCGTTCCTTCCGCGCGGTTCAAGGTTTCAGGTTGAATTCCTTCCTTTTTTCCGTGAACATATAATTTGATATGTTTTCAGGTCGCCACACGGCTCCCCCTCTTAGAAGTCCGGAGGGACTGCTACCGACGATTTGCAGTACAATTGTGAGAAGAAAAATAATTATAATGCTACATAAGACTATGGGAATGCGGAAAAAAAATGGAAAAGATTTTTTTTTTTACGCTTTAGTGAATAGTTCGACATCAACTTCTGAACTGGAAGTGGGTGGGAGTACAATGGATACATATTACGGAGAGTGAACACGCACACAAAACAAACAAAAAAAAATATTCTTTTAATAAACACAGGTGAGTATACGTCAGCTCTGTTTATATGACACATGAAAGAAAAAAAGAAAAAAAAAATTGCAAAAGAGGTCAATGTTATTTAGAACAATGGCATCAAACTGAATGGCACTAATAATAATAATAATAATAATAATAATAATAAAGATAATGTCCGTTAAAACGCTAACCAATATAGTAGTAATTATGGGAGAATAGTTGTGAATACATATATACACATATACAGTACTGAGGTAGTAAAAAAAAAATAGCAATGCTTCAGCACAAAAATGATGTCGTATCTGACACAAATAAACTACGTAAGTCAATAATTAACAACAATAATCAATGATGTATACGTAAAAAAAAATTGTTACAACCTTAAAGATATTAATCAGTAAAGTGTACAAAACGGGCAGGTTTATTAACCTGTCTGCCACTACGAGTAATGCAAGGGGGAGGTAGCATTATTGGCACCTCTAGAGCTTTGGCGGTTTCTTGTTTGTCTGCTGAAGTCGCTGTTGGGATGTCGTCGCCATCTGTGTAAGCAGGTTTGAGTCTATCCACGGAGACCGTCATCTTTTTACCTTCTTTGCTCACTGTGAAATATTTTTCCGCGCGATGCACTACTGGGTATGGGCCTTCATATGGAGGTTGTAGCCCTTTCCTGACGTTGTCGATCCGTATAAAGACAAATTTACAGGTTTGTAGATGGCTACTTAGGTTTTCTCTGCGGGGACATTGTCTCGGAGCTATTGGTTGAAGTTGTGACATTCGTCTGGTCAGTTGATCAGAAAACTCAGAAATATTCACATTTTGAGAGTCATGAGAGGATACTAGCTGTCCTGGCAGTGTTAAGGTAGTGCCGTAAACTAGTTGTGCGGGTGTACAACCAAGGTCCTCTTTAACAGTTGATCGTATGCTAAGTAAAATCAGAGGTAAGTATTCACTCCATTTAGATGCATCACTCTGTGCCATCAGGGAGCTTTTCAGTTGTCTGTGAAATCTTTCCACAAGACCATTCGCTGCCGGATGGTAGGCTGTTGTGGAGATATGTTTAACTCCCAGGAGTCTCGTCAGTTCACGAAACAGCGTCGATTGGAATTGAGCACCTCGATCGGATGTAATCGTAGTTGGTACACCGTAATTTGACACCCAGCGGTCGAGGAAAACCAAAGCAACATTTTCGGCCGATATATCGTTCAGGGGGCATGCAATAGCCCAACGAGTAAATCTATCAATGGCTGTCAGGATATGTGTATATCCTCTTGACGTTGGCAATGGTCCTACGATATCTATATGAACGTGCTGAAATCTCCTGTCCGGTAAATCGAACGTTTTTGGCGTTGTGATAGTGTGGCGATGTACTTTGGAGCGTTGGCATTGGAGACATTCTCGTGCCCATCTCCGAATGTCAGAGTTCATTTTAGGCCACACGAAACGTTCGCTGATGAGTCTGACGGTGGCACGTACTCCAGGGTGAGAGAGCGAATGTAAGTGGTCGAATAAAGCTCTTCGGCATTGGAGAGGAACAAACGGACGATTAGTGCCGGTAGAGACATCACAAACTATAGTGGCATCTGATAAGAGAATAGGTACGT